GGTTACAAGGGAACCCCCATAAGGCTAACAGCTGATTTCTCTACAGAAACATTACAGACCAGAAAGGAAGGGCAAGATATATTCAAAGTCCTGAAAGACCTGGCTTGGCTGCCTTTTGAGTTAATTTCTGGAGATTCCATTAACTAGAAATCAATGCCAGAAATCTTGTTGAGTCATAAATCTTGAATCTGATCCCACCCCAGACCTCTTGTTTACTCTCTCTTAAAAACAGGACTTGGAGCTCTGTGCATCCGCAGGACTTCAGTTTAAAGGCTTCTTTCAAACCTTCTTCCTTGGGACAGGGTGACAGGAGAGTTTTAAACAGAGATATTCTGCCCCCTATCAGCCAGCCTCCCAATTTATTGTTTTACAGGGGATGATGTGGCTCGATAACTTCTATCAGGCCTGTGGGGAGAGAGGACAGCGGAGAGGCTTGAGAAGGGAAACTTCTAGCTATTTATTTAGCTCTTCTTAAGCCCCAGTACTTTCCACTGTGTTTCAAATTTCCTGACTTTGCTTGAAAAGGGGGAAATTCTGTTACATCTCACACCATTGGCTACTGTCTGACCCTCAGGAGTCTTGGAGATCTGGCACTGGGTTGAGATCCTCCCCTGCTCCACCCCAGTTCCACAAAATACCTCAGGTCATGCAGTTCTAGATTTGAAGTCCTATAATAAATAACACTCCTCTTTTCATCGATTAATTTCTGTATTGTCAGGTACATTTCAGTTGCAAGTGGCAGAAACCCAACCAAAATTAGGTTGAGATGGTTTAATTAGGGTGTTTATTAGATAGATGGGAGGTAGGTGGTTTAATTAGGGTGTTTATTAGATGGATGGGAGGTAGGTCACCAGAAGAAAGGAGGAGCTATAAGAGACAGGGTAGCTCTGAGAACCTCAGCTGCTGGACCTGAGACTTGACATCACCAGAACACTCTCTCTCTCGTCTCTGCAGGAAAATTTTCTCCACGGAGTAGGGAAAGTGGCTGCTGACAGAGGCAGACATACATTCTTTCAGCTTTAGAAGAAATATCTGAGAAACCAGCTCCTCTTATAAACATCCTGGGAGAGTACTATGATGTCCTGACTTGGTTTGTACACACTCATAAGCCAATCACAGTATCTTGGAGTGAAAGGTGTAGGGATGTACTGAGCATCCAGACAAAGGTTGTCTGCCTTTATCAGGCACCATGTGAGCATCAGTGCAACTCTTCTGGTCCTCACCTCTAGCTCTAGTCACTACTGAAGCACTCAGTCCCCAGAATATTTCCAGAGTCTTGTAGCCAGAGCATCAATGAACCAATGTATAAATGCTCTCTGCTTTCATTTACAGGCATACAATTATTGAGCATCAGTCCCCACAGCAGTGGCAGCCACCTTGATAATGCAACCATGTGTTGTTTTCCCCTTTTTACCTTTTTATTCACTTGGCCCCTCATTCTTGCTCCTGGAATCATTTTTCCAAATAAACTAACTACATGTCAGCCATTACCTCCATCTGTGCATTTTTTTTCTTTCAAGGGGATGATAGGGAGGGCCCTGACTAACCTAAAGCTCTGTTTGCTTTTGCCAGGGACATCCTCCCCAAAACTATGTGGATTGAATACTGAAGATCTGTTGTTACTGGAAGACAGAGAAGGAAATGAAACATAGGCAGATAAAAATAACACATTATCCAGAGCAAGGAAGCAGTGAGAAAACACTTTTGGCTGTAAATTGTTTTCCATCTCAATTGGTATTAACTATTAGTTCTCACTAATGTTGGCAAATGTTCGCTGCAAGCACTTCAGTGAAAACCGTGCCAATTCCTTTCTTCTTCCCTGTGGAAGAGGCCACTAGCATCTCGGCAAAGTCCATTTACTCTTCTTTCTGGGCACCTGAGTAGACTTCATTTCCCAGCATCTCTTACAGTGAGGTGTGGTCTTGTGACTAATTTCTGGTCAATGGAATGTGAGCAGAAGAATTTGACAATCTCCATCCTGACTCATATCTCCCACTTGTGCTTTCCCTTGCTCTTTCTTCCCTCGGGCTGAATGATATGACAGCCTCTGATCAACTTTAGGAGCCACATTTTAAGGATAGTAAAGCAACAGTCAACCTGCGGCCCAGAAAAGTGACTTCAGGAAGCAAAGCTGCAACTCTCACTCACCTGGAACCATTCTGGTGTGATATATGGTGGGAAACAAAGTTCTATTCTGTTAACCCATTACATGACAAGGTTTATCTGTTAATTGCAAGGCAACCCAACCTAATATACCTCCTTCTCCATTTTTGCTCCCTTTCCTTCTCTCCTTCCTTCAATACCACATGCATTTCAAGATCCTTGTAACTCATGGACTTACTGCTTTGCAACACCAAACATTCTTACTCTCCCATATTGGACATTTGAATATTATAAAGTCTTGTGCCCTCTTGTGCCCTTTGGATAATACCTAATTAACTAAATGTTGTTGTAAATGAATACACTAAGTAACACTTTCGGTAGATTAGTTCCTGACACTCTGCAGTTCCTGGAAAATATCTCAAAATGTTATTCTAGTTATAAAAAGGCAGCATTCCGAAAGTAAGATAGCTAGGTCATCTACAAATTGAAGACATCTGAAAACTATTCCTTAAAGTCACATATTTATTTACTTAGTGTCACTCAGTTAAGCAGAGGTAAAATAAGGCGAGCAACCCTGGGCAGCCAGAGAAACTCACACATGTGCACAGGAAGACGGGAACAGAAATGTTCATTATAGCATGGTTTGCAATAATAAAATGTTGGAAACAAATAAAATGTCCATCAAAGGGAGAGTAAACAAACTGTGCTATATTCATACAATGGAATACTATTCAGAGATTAAAAATGAATAAAACATGGGTACATATATCTAGTTAGACACCTCTCAGAAACATAATTTTGAGGGGAAAAAATAAACAAGTTGCAGAAGGATAAATAAGTTGATGCTATTTATATGAACATTAAAATGCACACTAAAATCATATATTGTTTATAAACACATATACATGTGGTAAAAAGATAAAATGAAAAACAATTTCAGAATACTAATTTCTAAAAAAAGCAATTTCTGAGTAAGGTGGTATGGGACAGAGTTGGGAAGGGTGTGATGGGTGCTTCAAATGCATCTTAAATATTTCATTTCTTGAAAAATATGAGATGCAAATATGACAAATATTGAAGTTTGACAAAAGCTGGATGGCAAGCACAGCATGTGCAAGATACTGATCTCTGTACTTTTCTGTGCTTCTTATATCTCACAGTTTGTTAAATGTGGGGAAAAAAGAATGCACATGTATATCTTACAACCTCAGCAGGGAGATATGCAAGATTGTGGTGAGTGTGTCTGTGTAATCCTAGCCTTTGCTCTAGCCAAGGTGAAAGGAAAGATGTTATAATACATTTTTAAGAAGACTAAAAAAAAAAAAATCCTGTGTGTAACTTAACTCACCCAGTCAAGCTTCTAGGCATGGAAGAGGCAATATCTCTGAAAGATTTCTACCAAAAACATCTCCCCTGGTTTACTACTGTACCTAAATTCCTGCCTTCACAGTTTGGGTTTCCAGGAGTCTTCCATTATCTGGGCTGTATGCAGTAACCCATACCTTGAAGCTATTATTAGCCATTATCACTCCTGCATGGTCTTGAAGGCATAGGACATAGCTCTGGTGCATGTGATGGGGGCAGAGGAGAAGCATGTGTGTGGGGTACGGGAGTCCTGCTGCAGAATAGCAAACATTGACGGGAACTCTACAGAGAGGAATTTTAGTGGATAACATGATGTAATGGGAAAAGCATGGACCTTGTTTCCAGTCCCTGCTTTGGAAAGTTGCTTATTCCCAATGAGCCTTTTTTTTCTTCTTTTGTAAAGTGATGCCTACGCCATAGGTTGGTGGAGGGATTAAAGGAGACAACAAACCGAAAGGATTAACGTAACTACCTGAATCATGTTGTAGATTTCCTGTTCCTTCCATACTTCCAAGGGGTAGCTCACATACAGTGGAGGGAGTCTTGGGCGGTAGGTTAGGAGGCCCAGGCTCTCTGTGTGGCATCATAGCAGAAGGAACTCAAACATGAGGGAAGTGTGGCAGCGAGAGGAGGAGGGAAATGCGGAAGGAAAAGAGGCAGTGTACAGAACATGTGCGACAGCCCGGGTCTTCCCGGAAGTGTACACAAGATGTTTCTCCTGCTGCCTAGCTACTCTTAAAATTGAAGCGCCCCACCCCCCCCACACACACACACTTGGATACAAAAGTGAAACTCAAAGTTTAGAAGCCCCTTTCCCCCACCCCTTTGGAAATTCTACAGAACAGTGAGAGTGAGGAGCGTTCCAATGAATTTCTTTTTCCTCTTCGTTAACACAAAATAGACCAGCCCCAAAGCGGTAGCACACAGAGAGAATTTTTGAGTAAAGACAGAGTCCCCAAAGTGTTTTGCTTCTGCTTCTGCTTCTTGTGTGTGCAGTGCCCCTTCTTGTTCCGGACGGCGTGCTTTGCGCCAGTTAGCTATGGAGAACTTTCCTCAGCCTGGACATCACGCCTTATTTCTCCTGACCCCCAACCTTTCCCTTGTTGTCTCCTGGTGCCTTCTCAGTGAGTGTTCTTAAAGTTAACTGTTTCCATGCCAGTGAGGAAAGCAGCATCCCCCACGGAGGCCTGTGAATGATTATGAAGTTGTCCTTTTCCAAGCCTCAAAACACTGAAGTCTGGGCTAGCTCTCACATGCCCCTGCTGTCTCTGTCACTAGGTGCCTAACTCAGCCTCTGCCTCCCAGGGAAAGAATGCACCTCCTTCTCCATTTCACCCCAACACCAAATAAATTGCCGACGATCAAGTGGGATTAAAACTATACTGCAGCGGGAGGGTATAGCTCAAGTGGTGGAGCATGTGCTTAGCATGCACAAGGTCGTGGGTTCAATCCCCAGTATCTCCATTAAAATAAGTAAATAAATAAGTGAACCTAATTACTGTCCCCCCTCAAAAAAAAAAAACTACACTGCAGTACTTAACTGGCAGGGAGGATACCATGATCACAAAGGTGGTTCTCCCTGGGCGAGGCTTATCCATTGCACTCTGGATGTGCTGACCCTATGATTTCCCCAAATGTGGGAAACTCAGCTGCATAACTTGTGGTAGTTGAGGAGTGTGTTCATGCTCTCCCCTGAAAAAAAAATATACTGCAAATATGCTGTGGAGCAACTGGAAATCTTACACATTGCTGGTGGAAGTGAAAAATGATATGATCTCTTCTTTAGAGAACAGTTTGTTTCTTATCAAGCTGGAAATATAGTTGACATAAGACCAAGAAATTCCACTCCTACATATTTATCCAAGAGAAAAAAAAATTGTATTTATAAAGACCTATACACAAATGTTTATAACCATTTTATTCATAATAACCCCAAGTGGAAATAATTTAAGTGCTCACAGTAGGTGAATAAATAAATAAACATACGTGTGGTCTACTCATACAATTAACACTACTCCATAATGAGAAGAAACAAACTATTGATTCATGGATGAATCTCAAAAACATTATGTTGAGTGCAAGAAGTTAGAGACAAAGAGTATATATGTTTGATTCCATTACATGAAATTCTAGAAAAGACAACATCTAATCTATAGGAACAGAAGTTCAGCGGGTTGCCTAGGGCTGGGTTTGGGAGGGCTGATTGCCAAGGTTACAAGAGATCTTCCTGAGGGATGGAACAGTTCTCTACCTTGACCGGGGTAATGGCTACATGACTGCACAAATTTGTTAAAACTCATCAAACCATACTTATAAAATATGTATATTTTCTTGTATGTAAATTATCCCTCAATAAAGATTAAAACATTGTATGACTATACAACAAGAAGAAGTTGGAGATACCAATAAAGCATGTAGTTAGTAGAAACAGAAGCTCCTTGAATGACCTGTGGTGAAAGGCTTAGGTTGTAGGAAGTAGGATCTAGGAACAGTTGTTAATCAATGGCTTGAGCTGCAAAACAGTGAATAAACTTTTGGTATGTGTTGGTTAATTCAATGAATTGGGCACTGGTACCAAAAAAAAAAAAAAACTCCACTATGACCTCAGAGAAAATTATATATTCAGAATTGCCCTCAAGGCCTAAAGGACTAGGCTCTGCAAACAGGTAATAATAACCATTATTAAAATCTTAATTATTACTTTTTATTATATTTGTACTTCTCTTGGTGAGTAATATACCTGTATGATCACAATGAAGTTTCCTGAAATTTAAACACAATCTATTATTGGAAGATAATAATGTTGATAACTAAATACAGGCTGAACATGGCTTTCCAATATGAGATAATGTGCTTAACATTTCACATGAATGTAAATCATTTTGTCAAGTAAGGCCTCATTTTATATCACAGAAGGGCAATTATAAGGAAATCCTGGGATGTTGCTTTAAAAAATCAAAACTCAAAAAGACGGACCCCAAACTATGGTATATGAAAGCCGGATGGTAATTTAGGTAAAGCCACAGACTGACCCCTCATGCTAACATTTTCTCTGCTGAGACACAAGTCAGGTTGGTTCCAGGAGCCAGCCTAAGAGAAGAATTATATATTGCACTCTCCCCAGATGGAGACCCACCAATTTGAGTGATGGAAAAGTGCATTCTACACTTCATCATGATTTTGAACCAGGTATCTATATGAGGATACTTTTTAAATACATTTTTTACACTATTCTGATGCATTTTCAATGCTTGAGTGGCATGGCACCAATATGAGCAAGATGCCAGCTTTTGGTTAGCTAGCTGTTCCCTGGGCACACTGCGGAGAATGCCAGCTCTCAAGTCTGAGTTTCCAAACCTTTCGTGGCAAAATTAAACTCAAAAAAGAAAAAAAAAACCCTCACATATTCTGCTTGCTAGGCAGTCCTATCACACAGATTTCAGAATAAAGTCATTAGTATTGAGGAATTCTCCTAATTATGCTTGGAAACCTGACACGCAGTTCTGATAGTCACTTCATGTTGTGCTGCCCAGCTTGAACTCTAAAAATTGTTCAACTGCTAAACCAAGTACATCCCAGGTTTGCCAAGGAAAATAATCTGTTTTCCTATTTCCTGTGCTCCAACAGGGTACAAAACATAGAATAAGCCAAAATTCCTCCACAGTGGGCTTGCAGTCTTAAGGAGACCATTATTTTCAATGCAGAAAGTCAAATATTTTTTCCAGAACCAATTTTCTTGCTGACCACACTGAACATTGAGAAATCAGTGAGCGCCTTTTTGAGAAAACTTGAATTGAAGAAGGAATTTGGCTTTAGACAACAGGAAGTGGGTTTCTATTGCTGTACGAGGTCAAGAGAGAAGGACTTCTCAACCACGTTGTCAAAGGTGGGCGAAAATCTCTAGAGGCAGTGACTAGTCCTTTTGATGCTTATCTAAACCAAAGCAAGGTTTATCCATCACTCCTCATTTAATGATGAAGCCAGGATAATACTGATGGATTACTCTCTCTTTTCAAGGGAGGGATCAAGTTGGGAAAGACCAATTCAACACTTTTAAGAAGTCTTTAGCACAGACATATTTCATCCATTAGGGTAATGTTTTCCTCAGGCTTGTCCAGGAATAAATCCCAATCTTCTCCCCTTAACATCCCAAAGACACAGCTGATTTGTTTTCAGTTGGGGCAATGAAATGTTTAAATGGGAAACACATGTCCATTTGGTCTGGAGAGGACATGCTAGGAAGCTTCTTGTTTACGAGGCCCCCACTCAGCAATAATCTGACAGCCACAGAAAGACTAAACAAGTAACTAGCAATTAACTCCTAAATAATAGTTCTTCCTGGGAAGACAGTGGATTTTAAATCCATGTAGAATACTCAGTACCTAATGTAAGGTTTAAAAGGCTCTTTATTTCAAAAAGGAGGAAGTGCTGTTAAAAACCTTACTTAGTTGTTGCACTTCTCTTTCTTGGAACACAGATAATTTGGCCTAACTCTTCCACCCAAGTGCTCATGATCCCGGATCGCTGCCTGTCCGAGGCAGTGTTTCCACGTGGCTATTTCCTCCCCGCGTTTCTTTCACCTTTACATTCTTTTCTAAATTCTGAATCCCAAGCAAACTCTGGAAATAAGAAGAAAAAATATTGTCTCCTGAGAGAATTAAACTTGATGAGCAACACAGAGAAGTTGCCAAGTTAAAGGAACCTCAGGAGACATATGGAGTGGAAGTTTAAGGTCAGCAGCTTTGGTACCAGGACAGGGGCACACAGGCGGGATCACAAGCTAACAGTTTTCCCTGAAGCTGTTACCACGGCAGAACTGTGTGCTCATAGCCCTGTGTGCTGTTAAAAGTGAGTCTTCCTTGTAAATAAAATATGGCAAGTTTAATCACGTGGAATATTCTATACAACTGCTATGAGTAGTGTTTCTAGAAATAACAGGTTTTAGAAACAAAATATGTCCTTAAATTGACGTGTGATTTTGTATACTGAGGTTAACCTTGTTAGAAGATCTAAATTACATTATTTTTATTATTACACTATTATTATTATTACATTATTTCCTACATTCTTTAAATCCCACCCAATAATGTTTTCTAGTGTTTGAATATTTGCTATAACCTATAGTTCTTTTTAGTACTATTAAACTTAGTATCTACTATTTGTTAATAATGAACATTAATAAAATAATAATTAATAATAAATATATTTACAAACAAACATGTTTTAGGTATCCACAGTAAAAATAAAGAGTGTAAAGAATGTTGAAAGTCTTTTAAGAATAACTTATGACTTTGGAAATTCCCAAGAATTCCCAGGAATTCTAATTTCTTGTACCCCAATCCTAAGATTAATAGTTGTTGGGAATTTAAAGCAGTAGTCCTTGGTGAACTTAGGAGGGAACATCATTCGTAAATGGAAGTCTGGGTTCCCAGTGTTCAGCGCCTTAGCAAAGCTCAGTGAACATGTTTTGAACTTGGAAATTGGCAAGAGCTAGATATGAACCTTCCTTCAGAGACGTGCCCTCCAGACAGCCTTGGGCGAGCCACTGGCAGTATGGAAAGGCTAGCATTTCACTGGATTGTTGATGAGCTCCAGTGAGATTAGGAATTTCACTTTGTACCCTTTTATACACTTTAGGTAAGTAAGAGGAATAAATTCAGGCAATTACCTCAAATAATATTGCCAGTTATTTTGTGTGCTCATGTATAATATTGGGAAGAGCCAAAACTGAGGTGGAATTCTGACTGGGAAACTGGTAAGAGTTTTGTGGCTAGTTCCAAGTATTCTGTCCCTAGTAAAGAGTCTTCTCCATCTGCAGAATAGGATCAGGAATGGGTATGGTAAATGGCTGATGGACTTTGAGATTCTGGAGATTTCTACTGACTAACTTCAGCAAGGCTCCAGATTCAGGGGCCTTTCTTTTTCAAAATTGGAAAATCTTTTACTAGCCTAATGGAAAGATACAAACATGGGATCAGCCAGAACAAAAAAATCAAAGATCAAATGTGGCCCAAGAATGCTATCCAAATATTTAAAGTCATTAAGACACCTTAACCATCTGGTTTTTCCACTGTTTCCAACCTCGACCATTTAAGTACTATATTATATTTCTATAACATCTGTATACCATCTGTACTCTTATTTCTTTAATATTTTTTCTTTAATTTGGTCCACTTTTAACTTAGCCTTGTCCCAAACAATAATAAACATGAAATTATTGATTGATGTGCAAATTATATTTCCCTAAAACACATTTGTGTAACTATTACATATACTATAACACATTGGTACATAACTATTACAGTAAAAAATGTCCATCTGTATACTATTTAAGATCATCTTGTCTACCACTGGACCACACTTTGGGAAAGACTTCTAAAGACCATTTTCATGGTCATTTCAAAGCCTAAGGAAAGGCATCTTGTCTTAAATGAGTAAACAGCAGGCCTGTGAAATCACACAGGACCCCATGCTCAGAAGGGTCCCAAGCTTCATTTAATGATCAATTGTCACCTTCCTAAAATTCTTAACAATTTTTAAACAAGAAGCCCCACATTTTCATTTTGCACCAGGTGCTGCAAATTATCTAGTTAGTTCCAAAAGGATACAGGACTACAAAAGGATTGGCATCAGAACATAGCTCAGCTGTGACATAGCTCCCCGAAATTCGTCTTCCGTCAACAACTTTTTGCAAT